TATAATAAAGTTTCAATTTTCCCGATTCGCCGACAGATGACAATAATTTTATAGTAAACGGACATGAGTATAATATGACAGCGATACTATTATAGTATGTTGTCACTTGTCGACAGGGGCGTATATAGGATTTTCTTGAGGAGGGGGATATCAAAATTTGTTTAGTGTTGTTGCAACTTTTTGTTAGTTACTCCATGTAAGGTACCTATATAATAACAATAAATGTTGTGTAATGTCACTCACATGTTGTCAGTCACAGCCCACAGGATAACAAAATTATAAATAACAACAGTACTGCAGTTTGTATTTAATACATGAAAAAAAGGGTAAGGGAGGGGATCTATCCCCCATACCCCTCCCATAAATACATCACTGCTTGTCGATAAGTTCAATGATTAGATTTTTTCCACACATTTAATCCATGGGAGTATTAAAGATTGGTAAATTTAGTTCATTCCAGCCATTTTTACTGTGAAGTTCGTAATTTAATAGAAAATGGAAAAGTGCTTTTTAAAATTAAATTGGATCCAATATGGTTTAAAATAAAATCTGAAAAAGATCACCATTTACTGTTAGTGAATAACTTTATTCATCGAGTGGACAAAATACGGGACACAAAATATGTGACGTCGTGTGAGGTCGTCCTATTTTTAAGAATAATACTGATGTAGTATTATCGAAAAACCACAATCACCCCACACACGGAGTTGAATTAGGTAATTGTGGTATAAAATAATGCAAGGCTGGGCAAGTTAACAATTTTTTTTAACTCTTTAAGTTAAGTTATTTTAAAATAATATAGTTAAGTTAAGTTAAAAATTAATTTTTTTTTCGTTAACTCGCTAAGTTAAAAGTTAACTTTGAAGAAAAATTAACTTAACTTAGTGTAAACTGTAAAGTTAAAATTTGCTAATGTTCAAAAATAAAGAATTCCTGACACATAATATGGTTTATTAGATAGTTTTTCGTTACGTTCAAGAAAATTACTGGGGAAATTTAAAATGATAAGTACATCAAAGTAAAAACACATTCTAAAATTTGCATTATTCTTCGGACGAAAATTAACTTAATTTAGGTATTTTTGAAATAAAATTAACTTGAAGTTAACACGTTAATTACTTAATCTTGAAAAAAGTAACTTATTAAGTTAAAAGTTAATTTGAAAAATAAAGTAACGAGTTAGTTACCTTAATTAAAATTAACTTAACGTTTTAAATTAATTTTAACTTTAAACTCGTTAATGCCCCCAGCCTTTATATATGTATATATATTTTTTTTATAGTTACTTTTAATAATAATTATTACATACTGACAATTTTATTTAGTATATTATGTCTACAAATTGGGAATATGTAAATAAATAGTTGGCTAACTGTTGTGTCGGTGAATTGGGTTTCGACGATGTGGGAAGACACGGTTTTAAGTTATATATATATTTAATTATATATAAATATTTGCTTTGGGAAATTTTTTTTGCCTAGGGTTTTTTTATCCAAGGGCTTTTATAATCTTACTCCGGAGATTTTTTTTCCGATTACCCTTTGCACCACGTTCAGAAATATACCAAGAGCTATAAATAATAATTATTATAATATCTGGACTGATCTACTGAGGTACCTACACTGTACACTGTCACCGAGATACACCAATAAAACGCCGTATTTAAAGATTGTTCATTTTTTCCAGGGCGAAGTCGGGTTATATACAGCTAGACGCTAGTATAGTAATATAGAAGTCTAGCGACTAGCATGTAGAATAGTTTAGAATTTTAGATCATATACTATGACTATGGTTGAACCAATATCCCGATAACTTGAAGCACATATATTAGAGACTACGATGCTTGATGTGCGCATGCGCGAATAGATATCCTATACCTATACTTTATTCATGTGAATTGATATAATACTTAAAATAATATACTATAGATATAAATCAATCAGCCAATCAGTGACCAAGAGCTAAATAGCAAATACTATTATGTTATAATATTATAATATGCTTAGATCTTGTATATCATGTCATTGATTATACGTCGTCGCCCATTATAGTTACTTATAACGCTCCATAACGACCCCATCATTTTTCGTCTATTTTTCGCCCTCCGGCAACCATTAATTATTATTATAATAGCTTCAAAACCCATGGCAACCATTTGTAAACAAAAATGTCCATCGCCCAACGGAAATCTCAAAATCCCTGTTTGAGCACCTCCCGGGGCTGGTCCTCTCCCTTTTTAAATTAGCCTATCTTCTGCCCAGAGGTCTAATCTTTTATATATAAATATATATAAATAGCTGATCCCGTGCACTTCGTTGCCCATTAAAAATTAAAACTCTTTAATATGAAATATGAATAACATGTTTTACAGGTTAACATGGCAACCATTTCTATACAAAAAATTCCATCGGAAATCTCAAAATAATATATAAATGGTTGCCATGGTACTATGGACACACAGCCAGACAACATACATACATTATTACATTATTCATTTTTGTTTATTATATAGAGGATTATATTGATATGATTGAAGATTATAATATTATGTGACGGTTGCCTTACGCATGCGCACATCAAGCATCTAAGGCAGTAAAATTTGTCCAATAGTAAATGATATTAATATTATATATTATTATATAAATAATTAAACTATTATAGTTGATAATGTTGATATATTGTTTTATACGGCTCAAGTGGGGGGACTGGGGGACCCGCCATGGTTGCGCCTCTGTCATGGGCGTTTGTTGTTTAGCAAAGTATCATATTTAACGATTCGTATAATCTATAATATAATATACCTATTAAATATTATATTCCCTTCCAAACGCATAAACATGCCACTAAAATATACTTCTTTACCGAACGTCAATTTACACGTCGAATAAAAATAGTTCAGTATTTTTTTGTAATTTTTTTTATTTTGTCATAATGTTTATTATTTATAACGTCGTTCGACATTACTTATCGACACTACGCATTACCGTTCCTTAGCTTTCTTTCCCCAGGAGGCCTCAGCACCACAGACTTTTCAGTATGCCTGTTGTGAATTTGTGATAGGAATGCGATAGTATATTTTCGGTATTGCCGCATTCGAGCCGGGACCAGGATAAGAGTTTACCTACCGTCATCACGGGTGATTTTTAAACGATATCTATAGGTGACAGAGGAGGTGGAGACTGTAACCGCCCGTTGCAGGAGGATTGATAATATTGTGGCATGCGGCTCTGCAAGCGATTCAGGAATGAAGGGTACTGCAGAGTGGTTTAATTGATTAAAAACTGTCCAACAGTTTGAAATACAATTTACTTTAATTAAAATAAAACACTAGCTCGAAATGTAAAGGTACAAATCGTGTGGCGCACTGGCCCGTCCAACAAACGATGTTACACGGGGATGAGTGTTGTGCAAATGGTTTATTAGACATGGTGAAGGTTATATATTTTATATAATATACCTTTTTGGCCTTTGGTTATTTCTGGCACAGGACGTTGGGTACATGACATTATGCCCTATCTTACCGATTTCACTTATTATTTATTTGATTAAAGTATAGGAATGATATAGGTATATATGATTTGGACGAGATTACATATTACTAAATAACCAAGAATAACGATTTTAGGTATTTTGTTGTAAATTTATAATATTAATTCAACTTACCTTCTACCTTATTAAATATTAATAATAATTAATAAGTAGGTATAGGTACCTAATAACAATATATAAATATAATACAAAATATCCACACTCTAACCGTCTCCACTCTCCACCCAGAATCGTTAGGTATTCGTATACAATAATATTATATCATTGAATTCAAATTTAATACTATCCATTATACAGTGACCCACTGGCCACTTGTAACCTACTGTACAGCAGGGTGACATCCACTTACCCACCTTTCTTTTTTTATACTTTAAATACACATGTACTTCGTGCATGTACTTTAATATTTTGTATTCATTATAGATTTTATTTTAAGTTCATAATATGTATCTACTCAATATTGATGTTCTCACTTCTAAATTTCATCTTGACATTGAGATGTTGACTTCATTTTTTGTCCATCGTTCGTCAAAATATATTTCTCTCGTTCATGTATTTTTTTAATTTTAGAAGCAATTGAGTATAGAACAATGTCACAATGGGTCTAAATGTAGTACCTATATGTTTGACAATATTATCGAATTAAATTAAGTAAAGAGTATTTATCCCAAAATTCAAATCTAATCTACCTTCTTATTCAAATATACTCGTCTATCAAAAATGACTCAGCAAAATAATTTTATTATGGTAAATTTGTAACTTGTAGAGTTGTACTTATTAAATGTTATCCTAGTTTACTATAATTCAAGTGTTATCAATTATCATATAGGTACTTAATCGTCTTAATCTAATACATTCACAAATATAACCAAACAAGTTAAATACGAAGTAAAAGTATAGGGTAAACCGGTAAAGTTCTGTCACAGAATATTTATTTATTATAATATTTAATATTTATTCTGTGGTTCTGTTTTTATTACTTAGATCAAATTTAAATACCGCGGGTTTTTAACATCAGTGGCTCACGAAAAGTAACTATAGAGTCCTTGACATCTGATCTTCAAAAAGTTACCATGAAATTATAGATGCCTGATGACGCAACCGTTGGCAATACTGTACCGGTAACGGCGTCATCTCCTTCATCCGACCGAAAACGTACACCGCACTCACCCCCTACCGACACATACGGCACCACACCATCAATGTGTTTATGCTTTACCGTGCTATTGTGGTCGGCCATTTTATTCGACAATCGACCCTCTGCCCGTCCGTACTCTCTTGGACTCTCGTCGTCTCACAAGTCATAGTTTCATCTTTCGTTTTCATTTCGCACTGCTCGTCCGAGTCGGTCGCTGAAGCTTCAACAAACTCATCTCCGCAAGTCTGTTAGCCAGCCCCGCAGAGTCGTTCGATTGTTTCAATTCAACGCGGTACTGTGTAGCGAACGCATCATGGCGCAAATCAAAGACGAGAAGATCAGCGACACGTCGTTAAACGGCCCCAACGCACACCACGGTCCCGGTCCCAATCACAAGCCGAAAGAAGAGTTCCACGGTGGCGGCGGCGGCGGTGGCGGTGGCCGCGGCGGAAGAGGAAACCGCTTCCAACCGTACGGCGGACCCAACAGAGACCGCAAAGGTGGCCCTCCGAGGGACAACAATATGGTAATTATCAATGTTGTTTTGGGTTCTCGTGGATTTTTTTTTCGGGTACTCCGCTCACTGTAAACAAACGTACAACGGATTCCAAGTGTGCGGTTGTACCTGTAATGATGGCCGATGGGTCTATCCTGAGTGCTAAAATGCATGTGTACCTAGTTAGTAATGACTATTGATTCCGGTTTATATTACGGTGGTGATTTGGTATGGTTTTGAAATCGACGAATCGTTAACTCTTTTCTGTCGTCTGTACCCTCGGGCCGCTGCTGGAAACAAGTATTTTGTCGTTTGCTAAAGACACATCTATGTATTACTTTAATTTAATGACCCCACGCACTGTGGCGGTGTCGTTCAATTCTATTCTGTCGTTGAGCGGTGAAAATATGTCCTGCATCAATTCACCGCCACTGCTGCAGTGTGTGGGGACCTTTAAGAGTATTTTTTTTATACCTCCACATGTTTTTGTATAAGGATATTTCTGAATTCGGAGGTTACCCGATTTTGTTTGTACAATTATTTTTTAAACCAGTGTTTCCCAAACTTCCAATAGGTTACTGCAAATAGGAAAAATAATAAATTTGGTTAGGTTAGGTTGTTGCTTTATTTTATTACTCATAAGTTATAACCGAGGATTGGTGCTTTATGCGCTAAAAAGTGCTCAAATATGCGCAACATTAAAAAACATAATATGCAGTAAAAATTTGCAATTTATTGAAGAAAATTATTGTATATAATATTCAAAATGGCTCTTTTTTATGAAAAAAATTACTTTTGATACAATATTATCGATAGCACTAAACTGTCCATGTACCTCTTCAGAAGTCTTACGGAGACCATGTGCCATGAGACCATAAATTATGTTTTATTGGTTAGTTAAATTACGTAGGTAGTCAGAAATATATTAATTATTCTTAAATATTAAAATTAATATAGTTTTTTGAAACTGAGCAACAACTTGAAATTGAATTTACCTACCTGAAAATTAAAATATTACCCCTCCCTTTCGCCACACTATGATACCTAGTTATTGGGTTTATTGTGCCAATTCAAATTATTGAAATATAAAGGGTAAAGAAAATAAATTGTCCTACTAGGAAACACAATGAATTGTTTTATATGTGTGTCGACATTATGGATACATGTTATAATTTCATAACTATTATTAACTTACAATTTTTCCTGAATTAACCTACTCTTTAACATGATGATTATTTATAAATATATACTACCAAGATCTTTGAGTCTATGTGATAAATCTAAAAATCTGAGTTATTATATTATATTAAAACTATTTTTTTATGTACCTATACAATTAAGAATTATTTTTCCTGCCCCACGCTTAAATGTCATATGTTGTTATTTTTGTTCCAATTTCATTTTAAATGTAATACCTGGGTAAAGTAAAACCATGCTAGGAAGCCCATAGTATTGTTTCTAAATTGCGTTGACATCATGCATAAATTATACGTTAATGTTAGGTAATATCATATAAACATTTATTTTGGGTAAAATATACAAATGCCCTATGGTAACCCATCTGAAATATGAATAGTGAATACCTATGGGTATTACTTAATAATTATAAGCCCTTTCGCCACGCTGTAATACCTAAATATTGGGTTTTCTTGTGCCAATTCATAAATTGAAAATCAAAGGGTAAAGAAATTAAATTGTCCTACTAGGAAACACAATGAATTATTTCATATGTGTGTCGACATTATGGATATATGTTTTGATTTTATTTTTATTATTAACCTGCAATTATAAGAGAGAAAATTATCCACACTTATTCTTTTAACTTAAACATGATGATTATTTATAAATATATACTACCAAGATCTTTGAGTCTATGTGATAATTCTAAAAATCTGAGTTATAATATATTTAACTACCATTGTCTTATTTTTTAACTTGAAATTATCATCTTTGCTACTTTATGGGCACCCCCTTTTTCTTTTTTTCGGAGGAACACCAGTGATGCCCTCGATTCCACTTGCTCTCTGCTCTGCGTTCAGACATAAAAATCGAAAATAATATTACACTAATTTACCTTAAATTAAATAGGTATTGATACATATTAATATAATAATATATATCTACTAACCATGCTTTTTTCTCTAAATTAATCATTTATAATACTTTAAATTTTTAATTGAATTAATTTTAACTTAGTAATTTTATCTACCCATGTCGAAGCCATAAATATTAAAGAAATAAATACCTACCTACTTACACTGGTAAATATTACGTACAGTATTTATGTATATTGTTAATTCTATGTTTATCTTATTTTAATATATAAGACGTCTGTTTATTTTATTCTTCATGATGAGAAATATTTCTAATCATTCTGATTATGTTTGATGACAGTTTATTTCATCACCACCCACCTCTGAAAGAATCGAAAAACATTTGGTATTCATTTTGTATGATGACTACATAGTTCATTTGAAACAAGATGAAATTTAGCTATATTGCAATTGTCTTTCGCTCCTATCTGAAAAATGGATACTAATGTGTGGGTACAACAATTTAAATATTATAAGCCCTTTCGCCACGCTATAATACCTAAATATTGGGTTTTATTGTGCCAATTCATAAATTGAAAATCAAAGGGTAAAGAAATTAAATTGTCCTACTAGGAAACACAATGAATTATTTCATATGTGTGTCGACATTATGGGTACATATCTAAACAATTTGTAATCTAACTATATTATTATGGTGCACATGTTTTTTTCCCCTTAAGATGATGTCTTTCCACCGCAATAGTTGTCTTATTGATATCTTATCAATGATCATATTTTTAAATTATATATTAGCTTTTTTAATATATGCCTACGTTTTATGTATTTTTTATTCTTCATGATGAGATATATTTCTAATCATTCTGATTATGTTTGATGACAGTTTATTTCATCACCACCCACCTCTGAAAGAATTGAAAAACATTTGGTATTCATTTTATATGATGACTACATAGTTCATTTGAATCAAGATGAAATTTAGCTATATTGCAATTGTCTTTCGCTCCTATCTGAAAAATGGATACTAATGTGTGGGTACAACAATTTAAATATTATAAGCCCTTTCGCCACGCTATAATACCTAAATATTGGGTTTTATTGTGCCAATTCATAAATTGAAAATCAAAGGGTAAAGAAATTAAATTGTCCTACTAGGAAACACAATGAATTATTTCATATGTGTGTCGACATTATGGGTACATATCGAAACAAACTGTAATCAAATTATATTATCATTTTCACATGGTTTTTTTGTTTTAAGGAGATGTCTTTCCACCGCAATAGTTGTCTTATTTATATCTTATCAATGATTATATTATTAAATTATATAGTAGCTTTTTTTTAATATATACCTACGTTTTATGTATATTTTGTTCTTCATGATGAGATATATTTCTAATCATTCTGATTATGTTTGATGACAGTTTATTTCATCACCACCCACCTCTGAAAGAATTGAAAAACATTTGGTATTCATTTTGTATGATGACTACATAGTTCATTTGAAACAAGATGAAATTTAGCTATATTGCAATTGTCTTTCGCTCCTATCTGAAAAATGGATACCTATGGGTATAACTTAATAATTATAGGCCCTTTCGCCACGCTATAATACCTAAATATTGGGTTTTATTGTGCCAATTCATAAATTGAAAACCAAAGGGTAAAGAAAATAAATTATCGTACTAGGAAACACAATGAATTATTTCATATGTGTGTCGACATTATGGGTACATATCTAAACAATTTGTAATCTAACTATATTATTATGGTTCACATGTTTTTTTCCCCTTAAGATGATGTCTTTCCACCACTGCAGTTGTCTTATTGATATCTTATCAATGATCATATTTTTAAATTATATAGTAGCTTTTTTTTAATATATACCTACGTTTTATGTATATTTTGTTCTTCATGATGAGATATATTTCTAATCATTCTGATTATGTTTGATGACAGTTTATTTCATCACCACCCACCTCTGAAAGAATTGAAAAACATTTGGTATTCATTTTGTATGATGACTACATAGTTCATTTGAAACAAGATGAAATTTAGCTATATTGCAATTGTCTTTCGCTCCTATCTGAAAAATGGATACCTATGGGTATAACTTAATAATTATAGGCCCTTTCGCCACGCTATAATTCCTAAATATTGGGTTTTATTGTGCCAATTCATAAATTGATAACCAAAGGGTAAAGAAAATAAATTATCCTACTAGGAAACACAATGAATTATTTCATATGTGTGTCGACATTACGGGTACATATCTAAAAAATTTGTAATCTAACTATATTATCATGGTTCACATGTTTTTTTCCCCTTAAGACGATGTCTTTCCACCACTGCAGTTGTCTTATTGATATCTTATCAATGATCATATTTTTAGATTAGGTATATATTAGCTTTTTTTAATATATACCTACGTTTTATGTATTTTTTATTCTTCATGATGAGATATATTTCTAATCATTCTGATTATGTTTGATGACAGTTTATTTCATCACCACCCACCTCTGAAAGAATCGAAAAACATTTGGTATTCACTTTATATGATGACTACATAGTTCATTTGAATCAATATGAAATTTAGCTATATTGCAATTGTCTTTCGCTCCTATCTGAAATATGAATACCTATGGGTATAACTTAATAATTATAGGCCCTTTCGCCACGCTATAATACCTAAATATTGGGTTTTATTGTGCCAATTCATAAATTGAAAATCAAAGGGTAAAGAAATTAAATTGTCCTACTAGGAAACACAATGAATTATTTCATATGTGTGTCGACATTATGGGTACATATCTAAACAATTTGTAATCTAACTATATTATTATGGTTCACATGTTTTTTTCCCCTTAAGATGATGTCTTTCCACCACTGCAGTTGTCTTATTGATATCTTATCAATGATCATATTTTTAAATTATATATTAGCTTTTTTAATATATGCCTACGTTTTATGTATTTTTTATTCTTCATGATGAGATATATTTCTAATCATTCTGATTATGTTTGATGACAGTTTATTTCATCACCACCCACCTCTGAAAGAATTGAAAAACATTTGGTATTCATTTTATATGATGACTACATAGTTCATTTGAATCAAGATGAAATTTAGTTATATTGCAATTGTCTTTCGCTCCTATCTGAAAAAATGGATACTAATGTGTGGGTACAACAATTTAAATATTATAAGCCCTTTCGCCACGCTATAATACCTAAATATTGGGTTTTATTGTGCCAATTCATAAATTGAAAACCAAAGGGTAAAGAAAATAAATTATCCTACTAGGAAACACAATGAATTATTTCATATGTGTGTCGACATTACGGGTACATATCTAAACAATTTGTAATCTAACTATATTATCATGGTTCACATGTTTTTTTCCCCTTAAGACGATGTCTTTCCACCACTGCAGTTGTCTTATTGATATCTTATCAATGATCATATTTTTAGATTATATATTACCTTTTTTTAATATATACCTACGTTTTATGTATTTTTATTTTTCATGATGAGATATATTTCTAATCATTCTGATTATGTTTGATGACAGTTTATTTCATCACCACCCACCTCTGAAAGAATTGAAAAACATTTGGTATTCATTTTGTATGATGACTACATAGTTCATTTGAAACAAGATGAAATTTAGCTATATTGCAATTGTCTTTCGCTCCTATCTGAAAAATGGATACCTATGGGTATAACTTAATAATTATAGGCCCTTTCGCCACGCTATAATACCTAAATATTGGGTTTTATTGTGCCAATTCATAAATTGAAAACCAAAGGGTAAAGAAAATAAATTATCCTACTAGGAAACACAATGAATTATTTCATATGTGTGTCGACATTACGGGTACATATCTAATCAATTTGTAATCTAACTATATTATCATGGTTCACATGTTTTTTTCCCCTTAAGACGATGTCTTTCCACCACTGCAGTTGTCTTATTGATATCTTATCAATGATCATATTTTTAGATTAGGTATATATTAGCTTTTTTTAATATATACCTACGTTTTATGTATTTTTTATTCTTCATGATGAGATATATTTCTAATCATTCTGATTATGTTTGATGACAGTTTATTTCATCACCACCCACCTCTGAAAGAATCGAAAAACATTTGGTATTCATTTTGTATGATGACTACATAGTTCATTTGAAACAAGATGAAATTTATACTCCGGCCCACGAGAGAGTATTACCGTCGCCCGACGAAAACTCGTCCGATTCCGCGCATTCCCCACTACTCGGCATGTGCCGACAACTGTTCGGTACCGGTCGGCAGCGCTCAACGCTATACGGTGTATAGCGGTCGCGGAAATAGTGGGGGAAATGGGGCCTCGGAACGGTCTCCGCCGTCAGTCTGCATGCGCAAAACGGTAATACTCTCTCGTGGGCCAGAGTATAGCTATATTGCAATTGTCTTTCCCTTTTATCTGAGATATAGGTATCTATGGGTATACTTTATAGGTCCTTAGAACATAGAATTGTTTGATATGATGTGTACTCTATAAAGTTTTAAAAGAGAATAACTCAAATGTTATGTTATTTTGATATGATGATTATTAATAAATATATACTACCAAGATCTTTGAGTCTGTGTGATAATCAAATAAATCTGAGTTCTTGACAACTAAAATTTTTTCTTATGATAATTTACATTCAACTTTTTTAGACAAATAACTTCTTGCAATTTATTCTCATAATGCACCTATTACAAGTTATACTATAGATATACTTACTAGGTCCGTTGAACAAAGAATTGTTTGATACTATGTGTGCTTCATAAAGTTGTATTAAAGGAAAAACTATCAAATGTTATATTCTTGTACATGATGATTATTTATAAATATATACTACCAAGATCTTTGAGTCTATGTGATAATTATAAACATCTGAGTTAATATTTAATCAGTAAGAGTAAAACAAAATAATTTAAAACTATTTCTGATACCATGCTTCACTTTTATGCAATGTTATAGTTGTGTTAATTTAATACATATAATAACTAAAATTTAAATTTAAATTTCAGCCAAGAGGAGAGTTTCGCAATGATAATAATCATGGTGATAACCATCAAGATAATGATATCATGAATCGAGGCAATCGCAATCATTCTGAAAGTGGAAGAGGAGGACGACGTGGCGGTGGTGTCGGTGGAGGAGTTTTCAGAGGCGGTCCACCTAATCGAGGAGATGATCGTTTAACTAGAGCTGATGTTGGTTACCAATAATTTATTAAAATATTTAAAAGATGTAATAAAATGTTTATTTTTTACTTTCAGGCCTTATGGAATGAACGTTTAATGCAAATAATGGGTCCAACTCATGAACTTCCGCCAACTGATACTACAGAAAGAAAGTTCCTTAGCCAATGTCGTCTTTACATAGGAAACTTGGTGGATTGTACTGAAGAAGAATTGATAGAAATGTTTAAACCTTATGGGGAAGTTTCTGAAAATTTTTTGAACAAAGAAAAAATGTTTGCCTTTATCAGACTGGTAAACTAATAATTTAAATCTAAATTGAATTATAATTAATTTCAAGTAGGAAGTCTCGTTGTTTCTCCTTACACTTGAGACCCATAACAAATCATTGTACTTACCCGATTCTTTTTATAGTTAATTTATAGTTTATATTAAAACAAATTTACATATTATTGAATTTGTAGATGAGATGTACTTAAATTGCCCGAGTATACATTTTTCATATTTTATCTTTAAATGAGTTATAAGTAGAGGTTGCGATTACACGTGTAATGAACTACACAGATACCCGTGTTTTTACCTATGACAGGGTTAAAGCCTATGTTATAAAAATACCCGTTACCTTAAATACTCATATATTTAAATAAAATCGTATTTCACTATTTTGTAGTGCTGACTTAAGATTGCTCCACTTTCTGAACTCAATATGGCAGTATTCATATCATAATAAATTGTGTTCACTACCTCTTAGTATATGTTCGAAATTCGTAATCACAATCATCAATAATATTAATAAGTTACAATAATTAAATAAATGTGTGTATGCACCTAAGTATAATTGATAATGAAAAGTAGGTATAAAAAATACACGGATATTAAATAAACGGGCTTTAATACATTTTTTTCCCGCGTATTCTAATACCCGGTCACAACCGCAACCCCTAGTTATAAGTAGGTGTACACTCAAATAGTTTATTTTTTCAAATTCACAGAACTAGTTTTTAAATAAAGATATGAAAACCACTGTTTTTGATCATAGTTAAAATTCTTCACTAAAAATTTGGTTATTAATTGTACATATTTCACTCTAATATAACCTATAAATAAATAATTGTAGTATGAATCTGGCATGTAGATTTAATATGTTATACGTATGTTCAATAGAGATGCAAGTATGATAAACTATTAAATAAAAAAAACTTATTGAACTTTAATAGGATTATCGTACTAATGCGGAAAAAGCCAAAAGAGAATTAGATGGTCAGACACGCAAAGGACGTATGTTAAAAATAAGATTTGCTCCAATTGCTGCTGCCATCAAAGTAAAAAACCTTACTCCATTTGTATCCAATGAACTTCTAGAATATGCTTTTTCAATATTTGGTGATGTATGTTGTTTATATAATATACCTAAACAATTTTTTGTATTGAAATAATTTTTAATATTTAAGATTGAACGTTGTCAAGTGATGGTAGATGAAAGAGGTAATTCAACTGGTGAAGGAATCATTGAATTCTCACGCAAAAATGCAGCAAGTAATGCTTTGAAGCGTTGTTCAGAAGGTTGTTTCTTTTTGACCAGGTAATTACACATTTTATATTATTAATTTTAATGAATAACTTGGACTTAAATCTATTTTTGATCAATTTTTTTTTTAGTTCACTTCGCCCCTGTGTAGTTGAAACATATGAGTTTGTAGATAGTTCAGATGGTCTCCCAGATAAGTTATTGCCCAAAAAAACTATGGATTTCCAGAAACAAAGAGATGCTGGTCCAAGATTTGCCAATCCAAATTCTTTTGAACATGAATTTGGTACTCGTTGGAAACAGTTAGCTGAATTATATAAATCTAAAGAAGAGGCATTAAAACGTGAAATGAAATTAGAAGAAGAAAAATTAGAGGCCCAAATGGAATATGCTCGTTATGAACACGAGACTGAAATGCTCCGAGAACGTAAATATTACCATATTTCATCAATAAATTTAACACGTTGATTGTCATGCGTCCGCAGACTACTAGCATACAACAGTTTTTTTACGAACGCCGGCGGTCGCACCTTTGTATTATTTATACGCCATATGACCGCGGGCTGCCATAAACACACTTATTTGTAAAGGGGAATATTTTTCGTGGCGTAAAAGTTATGAAGATAATGTTTAAATGATGGCGTAGAGGAGAAAATTTCGCGTAAAATGATATATTATTCGCTGCAAACTGATTATTTTATATACATTTATTATTATACATAAAAATCATAAAATATCACTATAATAAGCATATAAAAAAAATTCAATCACTTCTTTTATTCAAATAATATGTTTCCAATTTCAATTCTTAAATATAAACATAATACAAATTATAAATTTAATACAAAACATAATTATCTAGACGTATTTATAAATAATATATGTAAAAAATAATTAAAATCCTCAGTCTGTGTGATGCAGATTGAAACAACTTATACATGTATAAGATTAGAAATCACTAAATGAACTTCCACTATCATCAGTGTCTAATAATTGACTTACCGTATGATCATTTACTTTGAGTCACTTTGACGCCATAATTAAAAATAAAAAATAACAATAAATTATCACACAAAATTTTATTATGTACGACTGCCGGCGGTCATATGGCAACTGACTAATTATATTATAATGACAACGCCATGCGACCGCCGGCTACCATACATTTTAAATATCATATTCTTACGCAGAAAGACATAACAAAGATAATAATATGTTAATTATTTTTTTCCGATTATTTGTTCTATAAATATGCCAATGTACATTTATGGAATAACATCGAAAATAGAACGTGGCTTTGTAGGAAAGATAGCGATGTGACCGCCGGCTGCCAACGTGTTAATACTTATTTATATTAACATTTAACACGTTCACTGCGTACTGACGCCAATTGGCGTCATAAGTATCGTTCAGCAACGCGTTTGACGCCATATGGCGTCTAATATACATTTAAAATAAATGGTTTAAAATTCCCTACGCGTGGCTGAATGTTATTTTATTATTATTTAGCGTGGATTAAACGCATGTTTTTAAATATGTATACATACGTCGTTATGAGCAGTTTCTTTATATTTTTTTTTAAATTTCTTTTGTTTTTACTTTTATCATACGCACTGGGTGAAAACTGCAAAAAGACATACGCAGTCAACGTGTTAAACCTTAATAATTTAACTATTGAATATTTGTTTATTTAGAATTGCGTCAACGAGAAATGGATAGAGAAAGACAAAAAATGGAATGGGAAATGAAGGAACGTCAAGCAGAGGATCAAAGACTTAGGGAAGGAGATATTTTCAGGAGACAAAGTGAAGATTTAAGCATGAGAATGCATCATCAAGATGAAGAGATGAGGAGGCGTCAACAAGACAATTCATCATTCATGCAGGTAGAAAATTATGGGATATAAATCAATATTTTGTTCTTTTTATCGAATTAAGTAACTATATTCTATTTCATTGGTGGTTTTTGTAGTATTTTTTTGGTGAGGCAACTTATGTATCAATCCCCTCCCCCTTTCATAACACAAATTAGACTTCATAATAATTTAATAAAAACCACGGCAGCACCCTTAAACAAATTTAAACAAACACAACTACATAATTGACGATTAAATAAGACTGAAACATATAATATATTACAACGGTATTTTTATACCAGACTATTGTCGTATTAATGCTGTAATCAAGTATACTTACTCCGTCAATAATACCCCTTGATAATTTGTAATAATTCAATAAAGAATTTTAGGATTCACTCATACACGGAACCTGTGCCATAATTAATATGCATATTCAGATAAAATTATGTTGTTAGGCTCTTAAACTGCTAGATTTCATAAATCGTGTCTTCAGATTTTCACCTGATCACTCCACTAAAAACTCTTTTCTGTCTCTTAGTCTGTCCCATTCTTGAACCATGCTCTCCGACCCGTCTACCGCTTCTGTACGTGGGTTGATTGAATGGGTTCAAAGAAAATTCCTCTGTCACGCTGCTTATTAATTAAACAAATCCTGTCCACCTCAAGATTACACGCTAATCCAAAGTTTTTTTTTCGTTATACAGTCTCGCTGATTTTCCTTGCTCAGTTAATATATCATTTCTATCTAATCTTTCCTCTTAAATTGACAGTCCAGAATCACTATCCCGTGCCCTTGTCCAAGGTGTCGTCACTCTGGACCCCTATACGTATACACTCTTCATTGAAAATATTACCACAGTTCTATAGTCACCAGCGTGCTTCCTGTCCTATCAAGTCCTGTGTTTTCATATTGTTAAATGCAGAATTTCTTAATAATTAAGAATTAAAATGCTATTTTTTTCAAATTGAAGTTAATATTTACAAAAACATTGTATCATAATAAGTTTTTTTTTAACCAAGTTGGTATAGTTGGCCTGTAATAATTATACATTACATTTGCATTTCAATCATTTGCAATATTTTTTATCGAGTAGACATCAACTATAAAATATGATGTGTAATTTGGTCACTTCTTTGGATATTTGCATTCTTCTTAAAATCTTTAAATTAAGTTAAAATTATAATGATTCTACTCCAAATTTTAATAGTAGTCTGGTAGAGTGGAGTATTATTTTCTAGTGCTGATAAAAAAACTCTTTTAAAAATATTTAAAATATTTTGCATATTTTATTATATGATTAGGTATATTATTTATATTATAATATTATTCATTAATAGTTATCTTATAAACTTCAAACTAATTTTTAAAAAATGTTTAGTTTTTTTGGTGTTTTCTTGTTTTTAGCATCTTCCTCATTTCTTTCTTTTGCTAGTGAATACTAATAGGTATCATTCTTGTTTTGGCTTAATGAGTTATGATATATCTGATTAATATTTGACTGTATATTGAGCAACCAACCTTTGTCAAAAATGTTGTTTATATATTTCTTCATTAACTAAATTATGTTAGAAAAATAAATAGTGAAAAATGTATATGAAGTTTTTAAATTGCAACATTACAAATACAACATGCAACATGCAACATTACAAACATGATCTTTTATCGGTTTATATATTTAGATATTTTACCGTATAATTTAGTATAGTACTTATCAAATTTTTTTTGTTATGAGGCTCCCTAAATTTAATGTAAAACTGTCAAGGCCCCTGTCATTAATTGTTTTTTTTTAATTAGTTATATACTAAAATTACATGTACTATTTCACACAGATAAATTATTAAAATGTATTGGTAGTAAATTAATGTTTTAATATACTTTTGAAAAATGTTAATAATAGTATTAAAATTTAAGTATTTAAACTTTTTCCATAAACGCTTAAGGGGATTGGAAGCGGCGATTTTCTGTCTTTATCTAACACACGTGGAACATAGGATTATAGACGTGTTCTATGTCCAACGTACCGATTAATCTAATGAAGCGATAAGAATTCTGAAAACAGATTTGAATTTGTCGTCAAGTCTACTTGAGATCGACTTTCCCACATTTTGATATTGTCCCACCAAAATCATAAAAATGATATATTATAAAAAGTACTTAAAAAATTTACAAATTTCAACTTTTGGAGAAGTTTAAATCAAAAAATCAAAAATGTGGGAAAGTCGATCTCAAGTAGACTTGACGACAAATTCAAATCTGTTTTCAGAATTCTTATCGCTTCATTAGATTAATCGGTACGTTGGACATAGAACACGTCTATAATCCTATGTTCCACGTGTGTTAGATAAAGACAGAAAATCGCCGCTTCCAATCCCCTTAAAGTCTAAAGAAAATAATCACTGATCTTGGATGACCATATAAATCTATCAACCATTTAGCATAGATATGTTTCTATCCTCAGGATCTCTGTTAATATATAATAATATATAGGTATTTTATAATATACTATAAATACTATGAATATAATATAAAATCAATGGCGATAGGTACAACTGAGTAATAAATGCTGTGTAATAAATGTTTTAAATTAATTATATTGAGATATACTAATTAATAATTAATAATTATTATTTGTTAATTATAACACTTTGAAAGCATTATGTATGATAATTTAGTGAATTAACTCTTACATTTTTCATATATATTTTTTTGTAAAAGGAAATTAAAAAATGACAATATTTAATAATAATAATTGTATTTGATAAAAAGAAAGTATTTAAATACATGCATACAAATCATTTAGAGCAAGAAGTCATTATACAATGAAAAATTTTGAATTTTATTCCTTAAATCATAATATATTTCAAATTTTCTATGGCTTTGGTGTACACAAGTGTTCGTTTATCGGCCTCTTTAGGATATATAGCGCTCTTGGTGGTGACGACTATCTGTAGTAAAATTTTCAAACAAGAGACGACACCTTGCCAGTGTCCTATTTAATGTCCCCTCCTGCTTTACACTATCATCTGTTCCATTTCACATACCATTCTCTTCCTCAAACTACAATCTTAACTCACCAATAATCAGTCTTTTGTGTATTGCCAATACTAACCCTTCGTCCCCCCTCTAAAAATTGAGCCTCGTTTCCATAAATCAAATAATTATTGTTTGTATTCATGTTATTAAAGAGTTTGTCCTGTATTCTAAAATAAAATCATACCGGTAAAATTTATTTTTATGTTATCGGTTCATAAAAAAACAGATAAAATTATTATTAATTTATCACCTAAGCCCTAATTTAAGTATACATAATTTTCTAATTGATGTTTTATTTTTATTTTAGGACCATAGAGGAGGACCGGGTAAACCCCAATTTGATGGACCTCCTATTCCTGTTGAAGGTATGTCTGTTCGTGAACTGGAAGCTATAACTGGTAACTAATCATTAATATATGTATATTAATGCTTGTATAGTGTGACAAAGCATCCTGAATTAGGTGACAGAACACCTCTAAGTTTTAGGTTAGGTCCCCTTTAAATGTTATTTCTAGTTTCTACAATTTACATATTTTCATTAAATGTCTTTCTCTTGTCTTGATTTAATATTTTAATAGAAAATCATTGTGCATAGAATATAGATTAATAATAATATTATTTATTTATTCAACTATATTAATATATTATACAATAGAAAATTCTTGGATTATACTCTATAAGCAAAAGCTTGTTAACCAAAAACAATTTTTATTTAATTTTACCTATAACTGTATAACTGACACTCCTATACTAAATATAATATAATAAATTCATTCATCATTATCGTAAATTCTATGAGTTTTATTTAAAGGTTCTAATAAATTTTGATATGCTAAATCCCATTTTTTTGGAGGGGGGGGGGGTTTCCGGCCTTTAAGACCATCCCGTAAAACAAATTTCCCTTCACCTTATTCTGTTTTCAGCTATTTTTCTCCAGTTTGTTCTTGGGTCTACTTCTTTTACTTCTCTCTTCACACAGTCTTCCCATCTGAGGCGTGGTCTGCCTAGTGGTCTTATTCCTTTCGGATCCTCTTTAATTACTGTGTTGATCATAGCGTCTTTTTTTCTCCACGCGTGACCTCCCCACATCAGTCTTCTTTTTGCAACTTCCCTTGAAATACTTGGTCTTTAGAACAAGTTATATACTTCCTCATTGGTTCGAATTCTCCATTCTTTGATTCCTGTGTCGAGACAAGGTCCATAGATTCGTTTTAAAACTTTTCTTTCAAAGGTGTCTAATCTTATTTCCTCTACCTTTCTTGAAGCCCATGTTTCTGACCCATGTAGGATGACAGGACGTATTAATGTCATATATATTTTTAAATTTAGAGATATTGATCTAGATTTTAGCAGGGTTCCCAAACCAAAATAGCAGTTGTTGGCCAGTTGTATCCTTTTTTAAATCTCTACTTTTAACTCATTGTCCTGAGTTAAGAGGACACCTAAGTATTTAAATTGCGGAACCCTGTGGAATATATGTCCATCTGCATTCATACTTTCTCCGTGTCTATACGTCCTGTCTCTTCTGTTGAGTTTCATATATTCTGTCTTACTATCATTTATTCTGAGGCCGACCTTACCCACAGCTTCCATTTGCTTCTCACAATGTATTTTAACTATTTCAATATTGTCTCCTATGATGGCAATATCGTCGGCATATGCTAGCAGGCCTATCTTTGACAATCCTAAGGTTATACCTTCTGATATATTCATATCTCTGACCACCTTTTCCAGAACTAGGTTAATAAGGATTGGGGATAATGCATCCCCTTGCCTTAACTCTTTGAGGGGCCGTGGTTAGTATGCTAACCACTTTTTTTTTTACCGTTCAGGTGCGGTGGTTACTATTTTAACCACTTAAAATTATTTTTAATATTTTTTTGATGATGGTCAGCATACCAACTACCTTATTATCATCTTATACATGCATCAAAGAATATCACTGCCGCTGGTCTGATATCATTTCTCGCGTTTTTCATCATTTATTATCATTATCAATATTTTGATATATACGTACTAAATGTTATGGTAAAGAGACATATTGCCCACATGGGTCTTTTTTCCAAAGGAAATTTCGCCCCTCCAAGAGTTAAACCAGAAGTTACTTTGAACGATTTAGATGTAGAGTTCGCTATTTTTATTTTTGTTTCAGAATTTTCCATAGTCGCCTTAATCAGGTTAATTAATTTTCTTGGCATATTGAACTCCTAATATATTAAATAGTGTTGGTCTATGTATGGAGTCGTATGCTTTCTCAAAGTCTATAAACAAGGTATAGACCTTATCAAACTCCCACATTTTTTGTAATATCTGCCTTATAATAAATATTTGATCTGTAGTGGATCTATTTGGTCTAAAACCCCCTTGGTAGTCTCCCAGTATTCCTTCGGAGATTGGTTTAATTCTATCTAGGATGCAGTAAGATAAAACTTTGTATGTTGTATTGAGTATAGCAATGCCCCTATAATTGTTGCTCTCGAGTGGATCGTTTTTTTTATATATCGGACACACTAATGCGATTTTCCAATCTTCCGGGATTTTTTCTTCTTTCCATACTAATTCTACTATGTTATGTATATTGGATATGGTTTCTTTGTCTAAACTTTTTAGAATCTGTCTGTATTCCATTTTCACCTGGAGTCTTATGATTTTTCAGCCTCTTAATTTGTTCTGCTATCTCAATTCTGTCTGAATCCCATACTATTATATAATATAATAATAAAAATTGAACCAAAGAAAAATATACTATTTTTAGACATGGTATGACAAAGATATTTTGTAGATCTTTAAAAATGTAAAAGAAAACATTTCCGTTACTGCATTATTACTGTATCAAAGTGAAGTTTCCATTTTAAATGCTCCTAAAAATTACACCTAGATATCTAAATATCTTGCTATAAAGCTATAGTTCTTATTACATAATTTATATCTGTTAATTTTTTCCTTTACAATCGTTACAATAAAATTTCATTATGATATGGTTCGGCGTGTTAATATTAGATAAAGCAAATTGAATAAAAGTAGATTTATTTTTATTCAATGTTTACTGAATACATGTCTGGCTTTTACTTTATGGTCACTTTATGCAAGTATTAATATTTATTCATAAGATTAATGGATTTCTATTTTTCATACTCGTTGACATGCCATTTTTCTCAATTCATGTGTTATAGTTATTTTTCTATAATTAATTAATTTTTTTGTTTTATTTTACAGCACAAGGAGGAATGGTAATGTACCTTTTTTTTAATACAATTTTAAGTTTTAAATTTTTCTATTTTTTAAAGTTACTACTAGTATTCCTAGTAACACACTATATAAAAAATAGTCTTTATTATTTTAAATTTCAAGTTAACATTTATTAACAAAAATAATTAGTTTTAAGATAAAATAGTAAATTATAGTGAATCAATGATTTTAAAATACTAATTACTTATGTAACTAATGTAAATCTCTTAATAATTATTATATACATAATAATTATTTCTCACTTATTCCCTAACAGGGTGGGGAAAGCCAAGTGGCAAATCAGGTCAGTCTTTTGAAGCATGAATTAATATTTTAATAATTACTTATCACTTCTTAGAAGTATGATTGCTTTAGATATTATAAATACATAATATATCTTGATTATGACTCAGATTCCATGTTAATTAAGAATGAATAGTTGTGTTTGAATTGTTTTGGTGTTAGAAATTTTCAGGAGTTATGGACATCTATTATTTATTTATACATATAATGCAGCTGAAAATAATAATGTATTAGTATTTTTTAAACTAAAAAATTGCAAGTGATTCAAAAATTTTTGTCTCTAGTATCAAGTAGAGAAATATTTGACATTTCCATAAATTCTTTGTTATTCAAAAACATAATATAATTATTAAAAGGAATTATATGAGTGTAAAGTTTTACTTGTCATATTTTAATAACAAATTGGTGTAGTATGTAATAATATACTTGTAACGACCACTTTTATCACTGATTACAAGAATTTGACAATTTATGTTTTATTAATCTATTTACAAGATGACAAGACTGATTTTACTGAAGAAAATATTCTTGTATTTTTAATTAGTATTGATAGGTTATTATTATCTTGTATTTAATTCCCTAGGCATATATTGCCTATTAATATTAACCGAATCTATTACCTATTTGAAAACAAACATAAATTCATATACATACTCATTAACTGAGTTAAAACGATATAATATTTAATAAAAAAGCAAAAAATAATTATTTTATTTTTATAATTATTAATTTGGAAATTTTTACAAATTACAGATTAGCAAAATATACACGGTTTGTCGGATATATTATTTTTTATTAATTTGCTAAGACTTCTGACATACTTAAATAATATTCGGGAGTAAAAACAAATTTAATCAAATAAACGGGTACAGCATATGTACTTATTTTAGTTGCAAATTTATTGAAACAAAAAGTTTTTTGTAAGAGTATCAAAAACAAAACTTTCTAGGTAAAATAAAATTAGCTGTTAATTACTGAACATTTTTGAAATCATAAAAATATGCATATACGTATTTGAATATCAAAGACCATTATTTTTATGTAGGTGCTGCATTAAAAATAATATTTCATTTTAGAATATTCTCACATGCATATATTGTCTTCATTTTAGCAAATCTACAACAGAGTTATGACGTAAATTAAAAATTAGAATATACAAACACATATAAGGTTCTTACTTTTAAGTTTGATTGGTTGATTGACTAGTATTGCAGCTAATAATACAAAATTAGTTTTTTTCAATGCAAATTAGTTACGGTTGTAGGTTTGTTAGGTGGAGATAGGTATTACCTCTTAAATCCGATATTTAACTCATCATTTATGATTGTATCATTAAAAATACATATCCCCAATTTTAATTTTTAAATCAATATATTAAACAAATTGAACTATTTTATTAATGAATTTAAAGGTTAAAAAATATATTAAAATGGGTATTACATCATCGTTTTATATCATATTTTTTTCTTAAATTACTGTTGCTAATAATTCTACCTTGAAAATTTGATTTTTGAACAATTAGTTTTGAAATAAATGTTTGTATTTTTAGTTTTTAGGAAAATGAAACATGCATTCTATTAATAAAACATTTACAAACCTCAAATTAATTTAAATTTAAGAAAGCATACTAGCTGGTAAAACAGGCTTGGACGACGAATGTTGTATCTTAAAAATAAAAATGTATGCAATTCAGTTAAGGGGGCTGCAGCAGGTTTTGTCCAAAGTCAAAACTAATGTAGATTTATTTGACCAATCTAAACATTAGTTTTGTTTGTTATAATGTTTTTCAATATATTTAAATTCCGTATCTAAAAATAAATTTAAGGGGGCTGGAGGGGGCTCCAGTCAATGAAAAAAAGTGACTTTTAAATCCCAATAAGCTAGACAAAACTGGAAGAATTTGGTTTGACAGATCTTAATTTTGAAAACTGATGAAAATGATTGATCAACAAGTGAACTAGGGAATGATCGAGGCGATTTTTAATATTCCAATTGTTGTTAGTGTCATAATAAATAATATAAATACGAAAATATCATATTTTTTCGATATTTTTATTCTTGGATATCACAGCTGAAAAAAAAATATTCAAAATCGCCCCGATCATTCCCTAGTAAACTTGTTGATCAATCATAATCCGTTTTCAAAATTGAAGTCCATCTAACCAAATTCTTCCAGTTTTGTCTAGGTTATTAGTCTAAAATTCATTTTTTTTTAATCTGCTGCAGCGCCCTTAAAGGTTAAACATCAGATATTTTATAATGTTGAAAACAAAATTTTTCTGTATAAGCATTTTATTTTATTCATTATTTATTATAATACATATTGTTGTTTAATATATTTAAGCATAATCTTGAAAGTACAGCTGGTTTGTACTATTGATTTCGCTTAATAAGAACATATAATTAATAGACTTCGTAAAAATTGTTAATATTTATAGGAGAAAATTCATAACTATTTTCATTTAGGTTTGAGTCTATTTATTGAAAAATTGAAAAATAATTCTATTTAAAACAAAAAAGGACATACATTTAAGAAGTGGTAGTTTATATTTTTAAAGGTAAATTACCTGTTTTTCTTAGGTTTTTTTTTTATTTTATTAAATAAATTTAAAAACAATCTTATTTACAAAAAAAATATCTACTTATTTGATATTTTTTTTATATATTGGGAGTTTTTTGAAAGATAAAAAGAACTTATGATATCTTTGTCTTAACTAAGCTAAGATGCATTGTAACTCTCCATTATTGATTAATCTACAACATTCAATTTCAAATTAAAATGAAATAATTTTGTATTTTAAATCTTCAGTACCTATTTCTAAAGTATTTTAGTACTTTAATTTGTCAATGCGTATCTCTTTGGTATTCCAAATCTATACAAAAGTTTATAAGAACTTACTTCTTTGAATATTTTATTTATTTTATTATTAGGTAATTTATTGTTTACATGACTAATTCCCTATGAATGCGTTGATTGATTTGATAACCGATAGGAATCGACGCCGTTCGTGGAAACTTTTGTACGTGACAATCAAGGAGTATTGCCGCCACCAGGCCTTTTCGACGCTGGCCCTAGAGGAGACAGGGGCGGAAGGTGGGGTCAAGACAGACGTAACGGCCAGGATCGTAGAAGATTTTAATCTTTCAAAAAGATCCTAAGAATAAACAGATTATAGAACAAAAAAATTGAAGATGGATAGTTAAATCTCTTCATTTAAAACTGAAATGATTACCAACTCATCATTGAAATATCACATAACCGCTTATGATTCTCGACATAGGATGATAAAACTAATTTTGGTACCTATTTTATGAATTATTTAGGTATAATCTCGTTTTTAGTCAACTTATTTTTTACATCAATGCAAATCATACAATTTCTTATTTTCTGCTACAGTTTTTAACCTAAAAACGGACCAATTTTGATCCTGATTCATATTGCATTTTTTTTTTTAATTTCTTGATTTTTTTTTTATACTTTTGCTGATTAGCTGAATAACTTATTAAACAGCAGTATTTCGATTATCTACTATAACAATGCTAGTAATTTCTATGTAATTTAATGTTTTTAAGTGATTTTATATTATTATTTTTAACATTACATTAGTCAATGGTCTCAAAAACTATTTTATATTTTACCTACTGGTAAAGCTATTTTCTTGAGTTTGGAAATTATTATTTATAACATAATAAATATTATTAATTGTTCTTAGTATAAAGTACTAACATTATAGTTCGCAATAGGCAATCTTAATGTCGCCTCAAAAATCATAACTTATGGATAACCATATAAATGATTTACATGTTGACATTAATGTAGTGGTGTGATAATTGAGAATCCAATATTCTTTAAATTTATTTGTAGTAATTAATTTAACGCGTTTTTGGAATAGAGTGTACACAAATACTTATTTGCTTTTATGAGGTTTTACATATTCTCTTAAAATGTTTAACTGTATGATTATAATAACATTTTGGCATAGACTAATGGTCTACATTATTTAATAGTTCTTAATTAGGTAGATTTTATTGTTGTATTTTTGAATAAAATACTTTTAAATAGTTGTAATACAAACTAATTGATTATCGGTTATAAGGAAACGTTGACATTAATAAATATCGCTATTTTTAAGGAAGACTACAATGGGTAGAAATATGTCGTATCGCGAGTGAAACTTTGTAATTTTTGTATTAAAATACATTTATTGAATTAAACAACGATAAAATATGAAGATTGATCTATGCAACAGAAAAATTAAATAAACTAAATATACTTTACTGTAAGTTTAATAGTTATAATAAACTATTCGTTAAATTAATTTTTTTTCGTGTGTGGATATCTGTGTGTGTGATTGTGTGTAGATCAATTTCAATATAATTATAAGTAAATTTAGGTGCACGTAATAGTTTATTTATTAAATATAATTATACATATATTTTCCTTAAATATACTTCTTACTAGAATTATGACTTGGTGTTTGATATATTAATCTAAGAAAAATAATGTTCAAATAAGAAGTGACCTCCTTTGTTCAAACTGGAGTCAACTGACTTATTTAAGTAAAAAAAAACTAATGTTAAACTCTTAAAATTAAAATATAAATATAAATTCTTATCTTAATGAAATGGACCTTATTTTTTTCTACCAACTTCAGCATTTTTCTCAGGTTTAAACTGATTAACGACCATTTTTTTTTTTCAATTTTGTAACAATTTAATGTAATGCATTTAAATAAAATTGTTATGAAATTACTTAATAAATAATATGAGTATGAAATGTAATATACATACTCTTCAGACTTAACACATTAAAAATGTCGATAGTGAAAACATTTTTAGAATCATATTTATATTATGTTTATAGAGAATAGTAAATATTGTATTTGGTTCAGTGATAAAGTCTGATTTTCTACATCAATATATTTTACACGTTTAAACAAAAGATTAGTATTTTTATATAACATAACTGTGACGGCTCGTGGGTAAAATATTTAATGGTGCACATAATGATGTTAAAAGTAGATTGTATGCAATTATTGCAAAAGTTAAAAAAAAAAAGATATTAGTTAACTCCAAAATCAAAATATTTTAATGGAAAAAAAGAAATAGAAAATGGAGTTAAGAAAATAATGCCAATACGGTTTGTGGTGGATAGCAACTAGGTCCCTTTTACTTGTTAACCCCCCACCACTCAATGGCCAAACGTAATTTACACGGACCGACTGTGTTCTGACTGACTTGTGTACTTTGATGTGTATTTATTTCATATCTCTACTACATTTTAGGAGTTTAATAATTGTCATGTTCAAGTGAATATTAAATGTTTTTTAGGATTGAATTATGTATTATAGAATAAATAGAGTTTAACAGCTGATATTGAATGAAAATTAAAATATGTTTTTACTATTATATCTATATTTACAATCTATGTGGTGTGTGTACACCTGCACACCTAGGCATAAGCCGCCACTGCAACATAATAATACCAAGGATTTTTAATAATCTTTTAGAACTAATTCTCGTACCTATATTTCAATTGGAAGTTTGCAAAAATGAATACGATTTAAATATAATTGTAATCATGATTATAACTGATATCAAACAAACTGGCGGTTTGTTCCGATAAACAGTCCGTGTATGATTTATTGAAATTGCCAAAAGTGCAGGTTTTAACAATATTATAATTCTACAAAATTATAACAAGTAACGACAACGGCAATGTAGTGGCAACCTTATATATTACTTTGTAATTTTTCGCTTCCATGTATTTTGGTTTCATTCACACAAATAATATTGTTTCCTGTTGTAGAACACTGTGGTAGGCAGAGCCACCAACTGCTAGTTTATTTGACATCAACATTAGTGATTGCCATCTCTATTTATGAATTTTTGGATGCATTATATCAAATATATTGTGATATTAAAATTATAATTTTCCAACTTAAAATATACAAAATTAAATCTGTGGCTCCCACGAGATTACTCATTTGAGTTCTGGCTACTTGACGTAAATAGACTGTTTATTCTAATTAACTGCTTACCATATTCTTTTATCTATTGATTCAATAATTTAGTTTTCAAAACTTGTATTTATAAATAAATATGTAATGAAAATGTATACCTTAATAAACCATAAAATACAAATTGATTAGGAAATAAAATAAGTTAAATATTCTATTAAAAGTTCATCCAATGTCACACATAACCATAATTTCAAATGTTCAAATTAGGGACTTTTTATTATTTTTTTTTTAAGAATTTCTGTTACCTATTGGATAACATTATATAATGCAAAAGTTTATATACTCTTGTCATGTTTATTTATTTTAAATATAATATATTATATATTATAATTAATATTATTTTAACATGTAGTTATTAACAAAAAGAGTAATTATATAATTTTAAATGAATAATTATGAATAACCAAAATTATAAATTAAAATCACGATGTGATGTGGGTTAAGTAATTACAATCGCATTACTTTTGCTACCTCGATAATTAATAATTAAACAATTATAGTATCCAATGCTTAATGGTATAAATTGTATAACTAATATCCCAATTTAAAGATCTTCTTAACACAGTGATTAAAACCATAGACAATAGATACAAATATTTATTTATATTTTTAATTTATGAAATTCATGAAGATCTGTAAAACAGATCCCTTAGGATTGCATATGGCCACACAATGGGATGATTCTTTAACCTATCCATTCACAACAGCAATGTGTAAATAATAATATAAAATTATGTATAGCAGATTGTGAAAATAAAAATACAAAGTTATGAAAATTGAATTATATATTCTATAAATAGCATATTGGAAATTTAATTATATTTTAGAGGAAGGGCGCTAAAATCTTCCTACATATAATAAGATGATTATAAACTATTAATTTTTTTTTGGTTGGACTAAGTTAGCCCATCACTAATTGTCTGCCTATGATTAATAGTTACATATAGATAAATATATTCATATACCAAATTTGAATTTTCATAAAAATTGATTTAATCAGACTAAAACATGTTCTAATAAAATAGTACAACCAATGCAATACAATACAATCTAAATTATGATCAACTATAGCAGATGTATTCAAACTGCATCTTGACTCCTAGGGCCGTCACAAGTATTTGTCATGAGAGCTGTAACACAGAATAGAGAGAAAAAAAAAAACGATGTTGAAGCTTAATATATTGTTTTATTGTAAACATAAAACATTTAATTTCAGTTCTCTAAGCATAATTATTACCTATTCAATTTTTTGCTTTGATGTATTTATAATATGTATTATTTTAAATAGTCAAACATACAAACATTTTTTTCTGTGTCCTTAATAATGTGAGTGCCACCAAAATGTTGTGAAGAGACGAAGGAACCTTGGAATGAAAAAGTTTGAATACCTCTGATCATATTATTTATATTTTCTTGTAGTTAAAAAATAATAGTGGTGTCATTTGAGATGTAGAAAGGTAGGTATTTAATGGGCTACTTTTGGGCCTTCTTAGAGCAGATTATAGGTAATATATTTAGGTATCCCTGTACGTATGTATTAATTATTTAGTCATTGTTATCAATGCCTATGATAGTAAGTATAAAAATATGTAAGAAGGCTATTTATATTGAGATATAAATACAGTTGTAATGTCATTATAACCAGCGGTTTTTTTCAGTTTTATTATGGATCAGCAAAATATTTTGCCCTCCTCCCCCTCTTAAAAACTGAAATGACGCCACTGTCCTCCCCCTATAAAAAAAATCTAAAAGTTAGTTTTAATAAATTTAAAATTGTAGGTTATTGCCAGTAACCAGACATGCCTATGATAATAATATATAAAAAGAGTTATTCTTTTGTTAATGTTCAATAATTTCATGCTAATCTTAAATCTTTTATTCCTTTAAAATTATTTAAATTTCCACAATAAAATCCAAATTTATCTTGCATCTAGTTTTTATTATTTGCATCTCCTACATATAGAATTTGGAACATACATAAACAGAGGCCATTCGAATTGACCATCGAGAGCAACAGCGTTTGGTATTTATATAGCACTCTTAAAAATGACGAAGAATTAAAATTCTTCGTTAATTTGATCTGAAGGTATGTCTATGAAAATTTTTGTGATACATAC